TAGTAATTTCAAGTTCAGACAGTTGACTCAGTTACACATCCTAACAGTCCCTACCTGTAATCTTAGTTTCTGATTGAAATAACATATGATAAGCAAGCAACGGGAAACCTTTAAGTCCGGGCCTCCTTATAACCTGTTTCAGCCGCCATGATGTGTTGCAGTAGTACGTTGGTGGGTGTGCGTTTAAGTCATAGTTGTTTATTGGGATGCCGTCGGATTTCTAATCAATACCTTAGCTACACTCACGGGTCACTAGTATCATCAGGGCACGTGCTCGTCAAAACACAACTACAGGCCCATTCAATGTTTTCACCCCCTTATACCAAATATAGCAAGAAACTCTGTATTTAGTGAATACAAGACTTTTATTTAATAAGGTATTAACAAAAACTGGCAACGCAGCAGACGCACATGACGAGATTTGTGTTCATTGATTATCTGAAATAGATAGTACGAGTATTAACTTAATAGATGCATTTATAAATACTTGGATTTTGGTTTCCAAAGAACCAGTGGACTTGTAGTGGCATTGGACCATAACCACACAATCTTCAAAGCTGATCACAACACTACTCGGAAAATAGATATTCAATATTTAACGCGGAGAAATACCTAACGATGTAAAAGGCGGGAACAATGGATTGAATTGACTAGAGTTGACCGAATGGCATGGCTCGGCCATGCAGGCGTGGTCCTTGCTGAATGTTACCTTATATCTTCTATTCATATTAAATATATTGTTCTTTCTCTAGCCTAACCTTGTTCTGCATCATGTATTGGTAATTGATACGATACAGTGAGTTGGTGTAGTCGATGGTGTGACTTCCACGTAAGATCTTATAGATTAGGCAGTTATATCATGACAAATCTACAATTTTAGGATTAGGTCTATTATTAGAACAGTACTAATATCATAGTAGACCATAATTCTACAGACTTACCATGTTCGGAAACTGTAGCCAGACGCCTCATGCGTATTAATTCATCAACTTGATCTATCAATTGCCTTACTATGTCCTGCACCGTCGTCTGTCCGAAAAGTGTACTGAGTGTGTGGATTTTACTGCGTAGAGTGCGATAAAGTCTGTTCGTTTCATTATAATCTGGAGACGGAATAGCTGGTATATTTTCATCTACATCTTGAACAGCCTGAGAAGTCCATCCACTACCGGACATTGATGGCCGTCTACGAAGAACACAAAGGGTGACTGGCTATTCTTGATGCATATCAGTCCCCTTTTTTATAGTCTTTAAGGACTATAAAGCCAGCATAGGTGATTAGCTTGCTTAGTAGAGGCATGAAGCAATCTTCAGCTACGTATCTGCATTTATGACTACAGTGTAAGCTGGACTGTAGTGACCTACGTTTGCCTAATTGCATCTGCCATGTAAATGCCTTCCACATACATTTACTCAACGCGTCTCGGTTAGACAATTTTCGTTTCAGTTGTCTGTGCCCACTTTCAACCCGATCGTTTGTGTTGTTACTCGACGTAACGACATCGTTATTGAAAGCTGCGGCCCAAGTTTCTTTCCTACTCATCCAGTTCTTGTTCAAGTAGGCTGCGATGCGTCTGCTGCGTACACTGATTATGCGACGTGTCTGATTAAACTTAGCTAATGTTTGTTCACATCAACCTTCTTCTCTTCCTTGGTCCAAGCAAACATAACTGGGACTGCATGCCCGCAGCTATCTGTACAAACCAACTGAAAGAGTTTATAACGAAAGACAAAATTTAACTTACTTTCCCCTGTTCGTGTTGTATGTTGAATCCAAACACACAATTTCAGGGAACCGTTTGTACGTTACAACTTGCTCGTGTGTGTTAAATGCTATCTTTGTGACCTGTTTAGCCACACCCCCATAAGAAACGAACAATTTTCCATTGTTCCGTAAGGTTGCAATTACCTTGTTTAAACTTCCACCACCTAAAAAACCGTAGATATATGGGATAAGCTTACGTCCGACAAATTTATATTTTAAATTATTGACATAATGCACTGTTATTGTCTTTTCGAAATTTTCTTCTGCATACTTAACAATAGATTCAGCACTACTTCCAGTCTTAACCATCGTTAGAATAACCTTCAAATGATCTTCACTTAGTCTTCTGAACCAAGGATCATTTTTCAAGCACTTTTCATCACCAGGATGGTTATGTATCATCCTCGACGACGATATGACGAACCGGTTCACAGCATACCGTAAACGAAACATAGCCTTGCAACCACCAAACTTTGGTCTGTAAAAATTGAAAACAATAATAATAATCATTTACCCTTTTGCTCTCTGACCATAGCACTCTGGCTTCTTTTTATGGCCAAAAGAACATACATACACTACATATTCATAGCGAATTTCCGGCACACACGCTCCACCATCTAACACTTTAATTCCAGACCCGAATATTCGTCTGCCGCACAGCATTTCATCTAACTTACGTTTCCTTTTCTCTCTTAGTGTGTTTCACTCTTTCTTATTTATTTTGACCATCCGTGACTTTTTAGCTTCTGTTTCTTTTATGAATCTGAAGAACCGTCTTGTGTTACCTACATCTGCCACCGTCTTTTCCATCACCTTCGCTTTCGTTTCTCACCGCTGCTTTCGGTCGTTCGTTGGAATTTTGGTTAACCTAGATCTTCATCGTATTCAGAGCCTGATCTAATGAGTTTACGAGGATCTACCAGTGAAACAGACCTAGAAGAAATCCATTGGTTCAAATCATTAACAGATATCACTGCTGTTTCCACAGTCGTTTGTATATCTTTCCAGGTATCATCTGGATCAGCCTTGTTTTCAGAACTGACGAAGTGTGACCTCAGTTTTTCCTGGAATCTACTTTTTCTTTCTCATCACTCAATTCAATTCCAAAGGGTTTTCTGAATAAGGCTATCCTGCGTCCAATGAGGCGCAAGCAAATGCATGCTCGTATTAGAGCAGTTCAAACATGCATTCCAGAACAAGTGACAATCTTCTCCCGACCCTCCCCAGCGATGACTGATGGCAATGTGGTCTATTTGAGTCCATCGATTGTTTGGTGCAGAGGGTCGCCATATAAGACGATGTCTCTCCTAATGCTTAAAATTAGTGCTTGCCTTAATTAAACGATCACCATTATCTGTTCGCTGAGCCGGAATACTAAAATGCCCACCTAAATGTCTTTTTATTTGGTTTAAGCTGCCTAAATGGGCACCTTCTACGAGTACCATGTCTGAACGTTTAGCTTTCTGAAGAAGTTCAGAAGGCTTTCTGTAAAATTCATCTTTCACTTCATCCTGGATGCAGTCAGTAGGAGCGTAGGCAGAAACGACGAAAAGGCAACGACGTGTGTCCCCATTCTTCCGAAGCCGTTTAGCCGAACAGCACATAGACGACTGTTAACGGGGATCCACTCTAATGGTGCTTGTTCTGTCCTCCAACTTAGTGCTTTAATTACACCTGCCAGTACACGAGAATTAGCCATCGGTCGTGAGGCACAAGGATGGTCTCTTTGGCTCTCCGGTTTGGTGAGGTCAAGTGAATGACCATACCAGGATACTGTACGCATGTTTCAGAGACATAGCATACATCAATGGTACGAGATCTAAGTGTTTTAGTCAGATAGACCTGCTGGCCGATTTGATATAGGGTGCGTACGTTGAAGGCTCCAATGTGAAGTTTGCAGCACGGTTTCAGTAAACCTGGGATAAAGTTTCGTTCAATAGAATCGTCGGTCATGGTGACATTTGAGGAAATTTAGAGTTGAATGTCGAAGTAGGAGTAATAATAGGAACTAAAGAGGGAGATCGATTATGGATACGGTTATCATGAGTGCCGTTAAAGGTATGAGGGCAGTTACCGCCCAAAGGACAACTGCTCGAGGTCGGACACATACGACCTTTTTGTGAGTAATTTTCGTGTTAGCCCTGTACCTGTTGAGACCTTACCACTGGAGACGGATATCCATGAGGTGAGGCGAGGTATGCATCTTCAGGCTCGGCCTATTCTAACCCCACCCCTCCTAGTGGGAAGGCAGCATCGCTATTATGCTGGCTGTCGGAAGGGTACACCTTACTGCCATCACATTTCTGTACTGATAGCAGTTCGACGTCAGACATTGAGTGGGCTGCTTTTAGTCTTACCGCACTTCAACCGACCTCTCTATCGTGGTAGGACCTTGAAGGACGACGCCCCAACCAGTATACTTAATTGGTTCATCACGACAAGCAAGCCCGACCACAACGTCCGGGACATCAAAACAAATAGAGCAACAAATACTATAAAGTTGGAGTTTTCGGGACTGATTTTCGACCTATTGCTAATTATATTTTTGTGTAATTGCTAACTGGATTACTATGCATATATATATATATATATATATATATATATATATATATATATATACTCGACTAGACGATTATAACGTTCGGTGAACCTGGAAACCTAATGACAGAACAAATATTGCTTTAAAGACTTTTCATACGTTTTGACTACTCACTATGTTTGACACTGAGTGTTTTAAATCACATGAGTTGTACGCTTAATACGTGCGATTAAAACAAAGAACTCGACGTAAAGATTTATTGTCCGACAGAATGAACAAATATTTTTTAAGAATTGATCAGATGATTCAAATATGAAATCCGAATTAACTATCCATGTAGAAAATATGGAACACTGAAACGTTCATAAACCAAACTCAGAAGCAACAATGAAAACAACAAGACAGCTTGAAATATTTTTTAAAAAACCTTTGTCCACTGGGCACAGCAAACAATGCTAAATAGTCAATAATTAGTGAAACAACTTTGCGCAAAAATGGCAAGTCCAGAAAGCTGAGCTGGAAACAACGATGAATATAGACAGACGATATTGGGAACCAGTAAGAAGTCACGCAAATAATCTAAAAACCTTTTAGCTTCATTATCATAATTCAAAGAGAACATTGTCTTACAGGAATTGGATAAAATAAAGGTCCCTGGAACCAGCCGAATTTTGCTATATAAAAAAAACACAATTAAGAGACCATAATGCTTTACTAGATAATAATTAGTATCAGCACAGCAAGGGTGATGAGAAGAGTAGGTGATAGGGTATGAGAATGACAGAAATAATCAATGAACATAAAGTGAAGGAACGGCAAATCTATCATAAAATAAAATCCGGTAATTTTTTCAAATTCATGATTATGCTTAACAAGACTGCAAATTCAATACTGGACACAGAAAAAAAGAATGCTGAGTCCCAACAAAATTAGGATTTGAAAATGAAACTGGACGACCTATTGGATTCAATACATTGAATCAAGAGGTTGCAAAACAGAGCACAATGATTTCTGAAGTATGAAAGTTTACACGGATCTGTGAGCACCCAGGATATGTGGAGAAATATGGGACTATGTTGAACACAACCAAAGAAGTTTTGAATAAAATATGGTGCTTTCAATTATTTTATGTGAGTCCACTTCCTACATTGTTTTGCAGCTGTAAACAGAATTGAGTGGAAGCACATGTGATATGAATAATGCTAACTAGTCAGTTAGCACAGGCACGAAAAGCATCACAAAATGGATCCCTGGAAATGTAGATCAGTTAACATTTAAGACACGAACATAACGATAAAAGAAAAACAATGGCCCATAAATGGAATGAAAAATAATACATCAAAATACGTGAGATAGGTGCGCAGTAGCTACAACACATGGATCTGATCACAGGTTAGAGTAAAAGGTAATAAGTAGGCAGAATAATTTCGCAATCCACTAAGTTAAAAAAATGAAGATATTTTCAAGATGTGGCAGAAATTAAAAAACAAGGGAAAATACAGAGACTATGCGATTTAAATAAGTTTGGCAACATAATATAGCTTTGCACCGGAATGAGTTATTTAGCAAAGAAAAACAGAGCACATGACATGATAAATTAAAGAACTTAGTCGTTGTGATAACAAAATCGACTGCGTAAAAACAATTCAGACAGAATATACAGAAAGGTAACCAGAAAAGTATAGTTATATCTAGAATTATTAAAGGAAAATGCAATCATTAACAACAAGACACGAGAATTAGAAAGACTAACTCAGAATGGTTTGTGATAAACAGCCAGAATTATTCAGAGTTCAAAATAATTAAATAAAACGGAATAAGTATATATTCATACATACTGAAGAGAAGCAGAAAAGCATAGTTTGATTTTTAGATTGACCATTGTGCAGAGAAAAAAACTGGATGCAACAATTACAAGCAAACTACATAACGGATGACCATTTGACTGGAATATATATATATATATATCAAAGACACTAATATAAGTTATTCATGATAATGGATTTGTGTAATTTCGGCTGGATCTGCAAAAATTAAACATTTCTGATGACAGAGTAGGTTATAGTTCTTTTATTATAATTATTAAGCGATAATTTGATAATATAGGATGCACACTTATTGTCGTCAAAAGAAAAAAAGTATTACTGATCATACACACGGTGCATGGACTATAAGCTTGTCAAACGAATTTACTGCTATTAAGAGGTAGGTAAGTAATGTTCAGAGCACAATTTGAGGGACAAGAAACATATTGCACCGGTCTACAGTTAAGACAGTGTATTTAGAGTTGAAGACCAAATATTTTTTGCATTTTAAAGACGAGAGAAATGATGAGGAAATTAGAACAATGAGCATAATTAAATACATCACAGTTAGGGGCTATCAATGGACATGGTCTATGTTGTACTAAGATGAAAAAATACATCCTCAGTTTAGCTTTGATTAGCTCACTGAAAACACACAAAATGTACTACATATAGAGGGAAATCAAAAGAGTACAAATTAATTATAGGTATATCAACCATATAATATTTAGGACAAACTAGATACTATTCAAAATGGACGAGGGAAACACTTGACTTATAAACCAGAAACAGACTGAATCATTAGCGATACTAGAAGTCACTTTACAAAAAGATAAATAATGAAACGATTTACAGATCATAGAGGCTGTCCAAAAAGCACACAAATGAAAGACTACTAAAACTGAACGGTTTAAAAACGAAACTGCAACATTCAACAGACAAACAGTCAGGATACATTCACAAACACAGAATTAATGATGATTGAAAGGCAATGAGGTATATATATATATATCAGATGGGGAAAATATGGATAAAGAGGATGTTTATAATTTACAAGGCAATTCTGACTAGTTTTGATCCGCATATAATTTTGTAAATTCAAAACGTATGATTGTAATAATATTGGATCACAGAATGTTCTTAGGCACAGCAAACGATGAACTAAATAGGGGTATTCAAAGAGTAATACATACTGGCAAAACTTGAGCATAACTTAAGTTAGTCATTAACTTTTATACTGACAGATTGGCTGCGCTTCAGAGACGTGAATCTGAACGCGAAAGCGTTGAGATTGGAAGACTTCTCTAAGATATTCAGAGAATAAAAGAGATTCCATGAGACGACCATCTTTCTCACAAATATAAATCTTTACTTGCTTCCACATACAGTTATTCCAAAACGAGCTATATGAGGATTAGGCTTTTTGTTATTTGAATTCAGGGGGGAGTAAAACTGTCCATTGCTATTCAAACTAGGTGGTGTGGCATGTATATCAGATGACGTATTAAAGTGATTGGATATTAGGCCATCTCCACAAGCGTTCAAAGACTAAAATAAAAATTAAAAAAGTTGGGAAACATCATGTAGTCCACATGGTCACAAATGCTATATAAATGAAATACATACAGAAGATTATTTTGAGATTACACTAGGCTTTCCACATAGAGTATGATACCTGAGAAAAATGGATACCGAAAATTACTTTTACCTTTGAATAAGACATTATCTGAAAACTGAAGATATTTTTAGGGAAGATTATTCTAGTGAAAAACATAAAATCGTACAAAAATGGATACTCCAGACGAAAAATACGAATAGAAAACAAATGAAAAGCTGTGGGAAGTATTTCAACAATCTATCACGGGTTATCAGATGAAGGTTACACATGGTACTTATTGAGAACAAATATGCGCTTGTATAGAGCCTGTGTAAACAACAAAAACAGGATTAAATGAGGCGAAAATTCAAGTTGACTACCTATTGTTGTTTTTACAGCTGTTTGGAACAAAAATCGTAGTTATTATAATTAATGTTGTAGTGAGGTTCTACAGATATAATCTTAAGTTAACTCAGACGTACTAAGTTATCTGCTAAGCAGAATGCTAAAAGTTGTTTATTTAAAACATCTTGAAGGTCATCAAGAAAATCAGGGTAAAGAGCAGAACTTTACAAAATAATTTAAAACGAAAAACTGACACGAAACATACTAGCTGTTGCAAATGAACGCGAGCATCGTGATCAGACAACGGTTCTACAGATAAACGGTCGCCAAAAAACTTCACTAACTGCAGTGAGTCCTCTATATTTTGAAGCCTTATAAGTACACTACAGCTGCTTGGATTCAAAACATGAAAACTAGTAAGTTTAAAATGATTTGATAAAATGTTTTGCAGGCTGTGAATGTTTGTACCGTTCCATCCTAAGAGTGGTTGCACTAGTAGCCACTGACCTTGAGCTTCAATAGATAGGGTACTCGAAGGATTATTTTTTGACACCGGAAACTTTAAGTTACTCTCTAAAGCACATCGTTGCTGATTATGTATTAGTTGCCATTGATTATGAATGGATCGAATATTTGGACAGGATGGATTTATAACAGATGAAGACCAGGTAGGAGACCAACTACCAGATATTTTGCAAGAAGGAGTGCGCGTGAAGTTGTTCAACTTAGAAGCTATAAAAAAATAGCGAGAGTATTGCAAAAAGAAATATCAATTAGGCACACTTTAGTTTGAAATAAGGAAATCCGCTAAATGACCTGTTTCGAAAATACTCACCAACAGCAAAATAGATGGAAATATAAACCAATTGTAATTGAAAACTATATTCCGTAATTTATATGCAACGTATAACCTGGCACTTGTGCATCGGTTCAAGTTGCCACACCATATCATAGTGAGATAATTCCAGTAGTAGAACCAGTGACTGCATTAGTGGTAAATGAAAAGATTGCTCACAGAAGACATGATCCGAGAAAATTAAATTGGTGGGGTAAAAAATTGTTTTTACGGTAATTAAGATCTAAGGGAAGACAAATTGTAAATGTACCTGCACCGTTGCAAACTATTCTGAGCCATGTTGCTCAAAGTCTTCGGCCATTGGTTGTGATAATCATGTGGACTACAACCAGGTAGTTTGTACCTTCCTACACGACTTAGTCCAACTGTCAGTTACTTCATGGACTGATCCCACGTTCCAGGTTTTCAATGGTGGTCTAATATCAATCGGTTCATGATCGCGATAAAAAAACAATACTAATAATCGATGAATATGTTCTACTTTTACAGGCCACGTCCCATAATTACAAAGTAAAACAGAAATGATGAGCATATTCCCCCATTAGTTGACAGGCGGATATCTAGTCTACACCATAAGTGACGCAAGTTAGCCTAATTTTAAGTTGTCTTCACTGCTCATCGTGTTCAGAGCCCGAAGAGATGAGTATCTAAGCATCTAACAATTCTGTGAACGCCACCAAAATCCAGTCTATATTAACCTTTTGTTTAAATAAGTGCTAGGAAACATTGTTATTCATGTCGATCTCGGGATATCGTCAAAACATATTCGAGTGAACGTTTCATCTTAACAATTGACTGACAAGCTCCTCGACTTGTAATATATTGTCTATACAATTGTCTCACTTTTGGATTACATTAGAAAAAGCTGAAATTCAAATAAAAAGTTGAACTAACGAATAAGATACATGTATACTGTAGTAAACGACGGAAACAATTTAAAAGATATCCAGAGCATTTAGTCACCTTGCCGGTATGAGCACAGTAGTGAAACAAAATTGATATAATTTCAACGGCTTAGAAATCAACGAGACCAATTCTATGTTTCGAGGATTTTTACGTTACTGAGGATGAAAACAGAGTATTTTATTTCACATACCTGATCCATCCATGACGTTTTTATCAAAGTTTTCGCCACATTGTGGTGAAGGAGATATCCATGTTCCAATAGCAGGAAACGAGTTATCAGAAATATCGGTACCTAAAAAGAAAACAAAACACCAGACTGACAAGCGATACCTACCAATTATTTAAACAAAAGGTTAATATAGACTGGATTTTGGTGGCGTTCACAGAATTGTTAGATGCTTAGATACTCATCTCTTCGGGCTCTGAACACGATGAGCAGTGAAGACAACTTAAAATTAGGCTAACTTGCGTCACTTATGGTGTAGACTAGATATCCGCCTGTCAACTAATGGGGGAATATGCTCATCATTTCTGTTTTACTTTGTAATTATGGGACGTGGCCTGTAAAAGTAGAACATATTCATCGATTATTAGTATTGTTTTTTTATCGCGATCATGAACCGATTGATATTAGACCACCATTGAAAACCTGGAACGTGGGATCAGTCCATGAAGTAACTGACAGTTGGACTAAGTCGTGTAGGAAGGTACAAACTACCTGGTTGTAGTCCACATGATTATCACAACCAATGGCCGAAGACTTTGAGCAACATGGCTCAGAATAGTTTGCAACGGTGCAGGTACATTTACACTTTGCCCCCTGAATGCCCTGGTACGGCCGAGAGTGGGGAGAGTCCGCTCTCGCTCTCGAAATACTCTCACACGGCCACGCGTATACAGCCTCTGCCAGGGAAGTCCTACTCATTGCCTTCTCGTGGCGGGGGTGATGTTTACGAAAATGAGAGGACGAAAAGCGAATATCCGGCGCTTTAACCGGATTCCAAATCAATGGTGCACATGGGCTCCAGTATCCTGCGGGTACGAATGGCGTATGAACCAATCGTTGGTCACCGGCTACCATGGGACTGCATCTCCTTACGATGCTCCACTGCCTTGTGGGTTAGACCTTTAGGTCAAAGGCTCGGGGACTGGCCCCCTAAGATAACCACCTGCTTCGGTTTGGGCACCCGGGCAGTATCACAACCCACACACAAATGTGACGAATTGTCGATGTTTATGGAAAATGCTTGTCTTGCTTCGATCAACAACCAAACGATTCACATTATTATTATCATTACTATTATCACTATTATTTTTTTCACGTCATTTGTTCACTCTCTTTTATTCCCACTTTATGTATCCTTATTTTTCGACTCATACAGCAGCTCGCCTATGGTGGAAAATCGGTTCTGTCTAAACGTTCTCGAGTCACTGCCTGGTTGAAAATTGTATGCTACCATCAAATACGAATTCTTAATCAGTTTTTTTGAAACCACGTGCACCATTCAAACTGGCTGCCTTCAACGTTCGCACACTTATGCAGGTCGGACAACAGATAGGGCTAGCTATGTCTTTGGAAAGTCTTAATATCGACGTGTGTTGTCTATCCGAGACCCGTACTCAAGACTCTGGCGAAGTACTACAAATTCGATCTCCATCTGTAGCTTCGAAAAGCTTGTTTTACGTGCGCTTGTCCGGGGACCCTGTGGCATCTTCGTCTGGTCTTGCTGGCGTTGGTGTCGCACTAAGCGCTAGAGCTGAGGCACCACTAGTCGATTGGATCCCCATTAACAGTCGGTTATGTGCTGTCAGATTAGAAAGTTCCATCAAAGTGAGAAGAAATCGGCGTGAGAAACGATGTCTTTTCATCATCTCTGTCTATGCCCCGACAGATTGCAGCCCGGATGCAATCAAGGATGAGTTTTACCACCAGTTATCAGTTCTTCTCCAGAAAGTGCGTTCGACAGATATTGTAGTACTAGCCGGAGACTTGAATGCTCAGGTCGGGCGTCTAGGCACAGAAGAGAGTCGTTTAGGTGGCCAATGGGGACTCGTTGGTCGCAGGCCAGATAACGGGGACCGTCTACTGCAACTTTGCACAGACCACAACCTGTTTCTGGCTAGCACTAACTTCTGGCACAGTCATCGCCAATGTGCCACCTGGCGTCCTCCCTCTGCATCTGAAGCCTGGACTCAGATTGATCACATCGCGATCAGCTACCGCTGGCGTGGTTGTGTACAAGACTGCCGCTCCTTTTGGAGTACCTATCTGGACTCTGACCATGCCTTGGTCTGCGCCAATCTTGCCTTACTTTTCAGTGGACAACGTAGTGAACGCCATCAACGGATTGATGTTAGCAAGCTGGTTGCAACTTCTGTTGCAAGTAAGTATCGAACCGAGCTAGCTTCTAGGCTAGCTACCACTCCACCGAAAAGTATAGATGAGCATTGGTTGCAATTGCATGACGCCATGAAAATGGCGGGAACAGTCAGTTGTGGGTTTGCGAAACGTCCCGCTTTTAAGCACTGGGTTTCTTCTGGTTCCTTACAACTCATTGAAGCCCGTCGGTCTACTCTTGATGACCGTGAGTTTGACCATAAACGAAGGATGTTACGTTAGGAAATTGGGCAAAGCTTGCGTAAGGACCGAGAAGCCTGGTGGTCGATGCGTGCTAATGAACTGGAAGCAGCAGCTGCATCTGGTAATTACCGGAAGCTCTTCCAACTCATCCGAGCCACTGGCAGCAAGAAGTTTGGTGTGAGCTAAGCAATCTGCGAGGATGACAAGATGCTGTCCACTAACATCCATCGACGTCTTGGACGATGGGCAGAATTTTTCGAAGGGCAGTTCAACTGGCCTGCAGCTCCGGCAACATCGGTCAGACTGTCCTGCCCTCCATGGCCGGTGACGACTGATCCACCAAACGAGGAGGAAGTCCGCAAGGAACTCCAACTCTTGAAGCGTTACAAATCACCTGGCCCAGATGACTTACCTCCGGCTCTTTTTAAAGTTGGTGGTGACTTTCTGACTAAGGAACTGACGACGTTGTTTACAAAGGTGTGGGAGCTAGAGTGTACCAACGTCATGGAATGAGTCGATAGTTGTCCCTATCTTTAAAAAGGGTCCATGTCGTTCCTGTAACAACTATCGGGGGATAAGTCTACTTCCGATTGCGTCCAAGCTATTGGCTTTCGTCATACTTTGTAGGTTGTTCAAAACCCGAGAAAGATTGACTCGCGAGAAGCATGCTGGGTTTCGTTCTGGTCGATGATATATTGATCACATTTTCACCGTCCGCCAAATGATGGAACACTGTCATACTTATCACAGGCCAACAATCGTATTGTTTCTTGACATCAGGGCTGCTTTCGATTAGTTGGACAGGACTGTTCTCTGGGATTGTCTATTGAAGAAGAGTGTCCCTGAGAAGTTTATTAACGTCCTAAAAGCCCTGTACAAAAACACCTCAGGCAGAGTGAGGGCATACAACCACCTCTTTCCATTGTTCCATTCGAGCAGTGGGGTTAGGCAGGGTTGCCCAATCTCACCATTCCTCTTCAACTTTACCATCGATGACATTCTGGAAACAGCTCTCATGAATGTAAGTAATGGTGGTATGGATCTGTTGCCTGGAGAAAGACTTCTCGACCTTGAGTATGCGGACGATATTGTCTTACTGTGCGATAATGCCCAAGGCATGCAATCCGCACTTAATCAGTTGGCAATCAGTGTCCGTAGGTATGGTATGTACTTTGCACCTTCGAAGTGCAAAGTACTTCTACAAGACTGGAAGGATTCTAATCCTGTACTCACCCTGGATGGTGAGCAGATAGAAGTAGTCGAGAAGTTCGTGTATCTGGGTAGCTGCATAAGTGCTGGTGGGGGTGTGAGTGATGGGATCAATGCATGAATAGTGAAAGCCAGAGCGGCTTATGCCAATCTGGGCCACCTTTGGCGCCTTCGTGATGTTAGTCTGGCTGTAAAAGGCCGGATCTACAACGCGTCGGTGAGAGCAGTTTTGCTCTATGCTTGTGAAACCTGGCCTCTCCGAGTTGAGGACGTTAGACGACTCTCTGTGTTCGATCACCGCTGTCTCCGAAGGATTGCTGACATTCAGTGGCAACACCATGTCAGTAATGCAGAGGTTCGGCATCGTGTGTTCGGGCACAGAGATGATAACTCAATTGGTGTCACCATCTTGAAACACCGACTTCGGTGGCTTGGACATGTTCTCCGAATGTCGTCCCAGAGAATTCCACGTCGTGCATTATTTGCCGACTCTGGGACTGGTTGGAAGAAGCGGAGAGGTGGTCAGTGCATGACATGGTGTCATGGCATGAAAGAAAGCTGCAAAGGACTGGCTTGTGTTGGTCCTTCACGACTCCCTGGCTGGGGTCCGAGAGATGGTGCTACACAGTGGCTAGAGACGTTATCAGATATGGCTCAGAATAGAAGCCAGTGGCGATCCTGCTGTAACCTTCTTTTACTTTCTTCATAAAAAGTGGTTGTGTCTCCTTTACCTGAAAGATTTCTTCCGATTGTACCTTTTCGTTCCCTCATTACTACCACACTACCTTACACCACTTTCTTCGTTATTGTTCTCTTTTTTTACGCTCCTTACCTTTTTTTTCTCTGCGAACTCCCATTGTTTTGTGTGGCGCATATATATTGGCGCTCTCTTGTACCAATATTTATGTGTTCAAATAAAATAAAATAATAAAATACCGTAAAAACAATTTTTTACCCCACCAATTTAATTTTCTCGGATCATGTCTTCTGTGAGCAATCTTTTCATTTACCACTAATGCAGTCACTGGTTCTACTACTGGAATTATCTCACTATGATATGGTGTGGCAACTTGAACCGATGCACAAGTGCCAGGTTGTACGTAGAATGTGAATGACTGATCAGGTGACAAAAACTTGTTTACTGGGAACTTAGTTCAGGTAGCATATGTGGAAACTCTTTTCCGAATAAAAAACCTTGTTTATCGCTAATAATAATGATTTGGAGGGAAAGGTGATTACTTCAAGTAAAAAAAATTAGGATGGAATGACTAATATACTTTGGACTACCAGAAGAAACTGCGATATAAACATATCATAGTTCCAGTTTTGGTATTTTGTCAGTTTCTTGCATTTGTTGTGCATTTTGTGTACAAGATTCAAAACAAATCATTTTAACTTTATGAAGCATAACAGCTGAAGTTGAGAAAAATACCTTCCATAAACAACTAACCATTTGTTGGTATTAAAGGGTTCTTTACAGATTGTGTTACAGAATCTTGAGCACGAGTTATGTTAAGCTGTGCTCGCTTTCCGTGTAACTGAGTTTCAATTTGTTGCATTTGACCTTGGAGTTCAACAAATACGTCCGCGTACTGAGGTTGTGAACGAAGGGCAGGGTTATTATGATACATATTTAATTGGTGTTGAATACTCTGCAGGCAGAAAATAGAAGAACAATCAGGATGATAAGAAACAGGCTCAGATCATTTCGACAGATGAGATATAAAACTAAGTGAGTGTTTTACAAACGATATTAGTTATTCAGCATGCGTTGTTATATGGATATTTTAGTATAAACACACCGGTTGAGGAAGATGTAACATCTTCAAACGTGCATACAGTTAATCTAAATCATGAATATTCCTAGAAGTCATTACTTGATTTGAGAATGTCATAGCTCGACAACGGCTGGTTGCATTTGATCTTTCAATAAACTGCAGGTTCATAAGTTTTATACCATTGTTTTTAAACAGTTCACACGCTTCGTGATTCACTTGCTGGAATACTTGTTATTAATACACAGTCTTCTGCGACATTTGAAGAGATTATGATATCATCTAGGCGAACAGAACGAAAGTCAAAAACGCAACAGGACAAGCTAAACTATTGACTGCGCCCCAGCTCTGCTAACTAGAGGGAGAAGACTAGATTCACCCGAGGGAAAAGTATATTCCACAAACAGCCTGGAAGCACAAACAAACAAGCACACAACTCAAGCTTACATATAGAACATAAAAATGTCCTTGGTAAATGTCAGAAAATAGAGGATTAAAAGAGGAAACGAACCAATGACATTAAAAGTCCTTCGAAGTGAGAAATACAATCTGAAGGCATAAATAGGAGCTTTTGGTGCGAAAATGAAATTTCAAAATTACAAAAATGAGACGTTTAGAAGTTATTTCTGGGGATCTAGCATCCCCGAGATCTTCGAAAACCCTGAAATGACAACCAAACATTCTCTGTCAAGGTTTGCCAAAGACAAGTATTTCACACATAGCGATTTCGTACCTACTAGACAAATAATTCGGTAACTCGAAACCCATCCGGGAGAATATTCGTTTTACAATTGTAAATGGAATTTGATAAGACAAAAATAAAATTCGTGATGAGCGGAATTCTTATGTCCTATTGACAACAAAAAGAATGAAATGCAATAAATAGGAATACAAATTTGAAACAATTCTACCCACCTGATGTTTTTTCTGCAATTCAATCATGGAGTTTATGATCGAAATTTGACGAGGCGACCTTTTCGCTGAGTTTTGGTTTAAAGACGCTGGTCCAGTCGATGTACGATTATTTTTTATAGGACATAAACTAGTAGTAGTTAGTAGGCTAGTGCTTGAATGTGGATTAGTAGACGATGCAGTTTGAATGTTGGAATTAACGTTTGATAAGGAAAGAGATGGAGGCTTTCCCAAAAGCGAACCACCACAGGTTCCCATTGTGGCACTCCCATTCGTCTGTACACCTAACGGACTTGGAATGGAAAGGTTTAAGGCCGATCGAACCTAAAGGAAAATTACGAATGCTATTAGTGCTTGATTACAAATGAGTGACAAAGTTGAAGACCATAATCAATGAACTTTGTTTCAGGTAACTTAATAAAGTTATAAGTTGTTTCTACTGTGGTGTCAAAACTGCCATAGCAACTCGGACCCACAGTAAGAGTGATGAGTCTACAAAGATAACCCTTAGGTGTTAACCTTCTAATTCAAATAGTTGTAAGGAGAACCAGTAGTCAAAACGTTCAGGTTGAAGGTCATACTGCGAGGGTTAGTCAGTTAATCAGATACCAAGATACGGAAATTAGAACTCAGGAAGCTTGGGCTAATTTTATAGACCACAAGTCGTACAAATATTACGTTAATTCAAAACATATCAAAAAACTAAAACAGAACAGCGTTCAGACAGTTAACGAAATGGTTGAAATTTTGAATCTTTAGTTTAGTGAGGCCTTAATCTCACTGAATAAAACGGTTGAGTATTCAGGTCTAGGTTTGGTGTTCCACCAACCTAAACGATTTAAATAAACTAGTTAGTTCACCTCTGATAGATGGACTCAGTCTACTGATTAAAGCCTGTCATTTATTCAATGCATATAAAATATAATTATCACAGTAAAATCAATAGTAAATCAAAGAAACATTTTAAAAAAGCATCGGTTAGGAAATCAATATGCGCTACAACATCTTAGAAGCACATTTAGTCCAGAAGACAAGCCAGCAATTGGATGACTGCTGAAGGCAGTATGATTAGAAGAGATGTGTAACCGCATATACAATTATATAATGCAATAATTTGGAGTGAACATATCACCTGTTGTGTAATCTGCTGTCGCATGAATTGAGAGTTAGGGATTGGTTGCATAGATAAAAGTTGAGTTGTATTACTTTGCGTAGACACGCACAACCCTGACTGCTTCAGACGATGATTTTGTGCAGACACCGAAGAGTTATTTCCAGAAGGTGCGAACTGTGATAAAGACGTATGATTAGACAGCTGGTACATGGGTCCGTTTCTTGTTACAACGTGCAGAATGCTATCAGCTCCATAATTACGATTAAGCTCTGGAGGCTGTGTCATGGCATTAATAGCCTTATTGGTGCTGTAACGCTCCCGTAATTCGACTATAGCTTTATCTGGTTCCATATTGGAGGCAATTAACGCAGCATGTGCATCTTCTCTTTTAAATCCTTGGCTCATTAAGTATTTGACCAGATCTGCGCGATAGGTATTACTGTATGGGTGAATTAGTAATCGTTCCTAAGGAAAATAAAAAAAATTTAGTCACGATATATATACTACTTAACGTAAGCAATGCGAATCTACCTACTGAAAAGCATAGTACGAAGTAAAGTCTTTTGTTATACGACCCGCCCAACCTAATTGCTTTGCATTCTTCGGATACATTACCTTAATCGACTAGTTCCAAAAATGGGAATACGGCTTGGACTGGTGCGTAATTATATTCCACAACAAGCCAAGTCTAATGAGATAGTCACAGTAATAAAAACGTTAGTATTGTTAAGATTTCACACAAGAATATCCTATAACCTCCGATTATCTGCTAGCGCTGACTAGCTAAAACCGGGTCAATATGTTCTAACATAATCCTGTATGGAACGTGCTTTAATCCAATCAATGTCTTGCTAACAAGTACGGAAAACATATCCAGGGTATAAGATGAAGGATATTAGCGGACAATACTACGAAATGGTTTATGTTACAAGAAAAAGATATCTAATTACTTAATTACAGATGCTGAAGTAAATGCATGTTAGAGGGTGGGTAAAGCTTTGTTTTTAGATGACTAATTGTAGATGGACTGAAATTACCATCATATTATTACAGGGAAGATTGGATAAACTGAGAAAAATGAAAAAACTGTATTGATATAATGCATTGCATTAAACATCGGTTTGCGAAAGCAACGAATTACATCAAAAAAAATAGAGCAACGAATATTGTCAAACTGGAATTTTTGGAACTGGTTTTCGGACTATTGTTATTTATATTTTTATTGTGAATTACTATGCATATATATCTTATTTACCCTAAGCTTTGGTTTAACCGATTGACTATTATTAAACTGCTTATTATTCCCGTTTTAGTGTCACGCGATGAGACAGATTTGCGGTGCCAGTCTTGTTGGACTAGAATGTCATTCATTCTTCCAACATTCTAAAAGTCATATTAATTGTATCTGGTGAATTTCGGAAGTACAAGCTACTCAAGCAGCTGTCCTGACTGATGTAACAAAAACCATAGCAATAGTGGTATTACTACTGGCGAGATACTTATTTGATAATGCTAAAGAACCTAAAGATATCTTTTGGATGTGTTGGCGGGATCGCAGAAATTGATGAAACTGTCGTCCGGAAGGGGAAGTATAACGAGCAGAAGTGTGAAAGTGGATTGGGTAAGTAATAGTTTTCTCAGCACTAGTAGTACAGATTTCGGAATCCGGGATTGTAAAACGCAAAAGGATATCACCAACATATATACGAAACAGAAAGGCTCCAACACTCCTGCCAATTATTAAACACCATGTGTAATCAGGAACAAAAATTCACACAAGCATATGTAAGGAGTATCGGTATCTTTATAAACACGAATATATTCATCGCAAGTTAGTACATGAGGCACTACGTAGACTGTTGGGGACGTTAGATCCCAGAACTCACTCGGAAAAAAACCTAATTTTTTAATTTTATTCTGAAGTTTTGAATTTCTTTGTTTTCACGCCAAAAGCGCTCTTTTCACCTTCATGTCGTATTCCCCACTTGGGAGAATCTTAAACGCTATTGGTCCGTTGTGTCTTCTATTTTGTAGCGCTTCCCAAGGACAGTTTTGTGCTGTATATATACGTTTTGATTTGTGTCTGTTGTTATCGCTCGTGCTTCTGTCTTTTCTGCGGAATATATATCCGCGTTCGGACTTCGACTTCTCTCTCTAGTTAGTGGGGCTGGGACGCAATAGAATAGCTAGTTTATTGGTTTTTGGACACAAGTCCTTGTTCCGTTCGCAGTCTAAGTGAACTCATATCTGCTTCAAACCTAGCATAGACCCAACAACTGGTGTTCATACTAACAACGTATGTGGACCAGATTGAAAAATTTTCCTCGAGTTTATAAAGGATCTACAGGTCAAATGATATGGAGTCATATGGACGAGTCTATATACCGGATCTATTATGATTATAATATTGAAAACTCCACTGAAAATCTATCATTATTCATGTAAAAGCTATTTATACATTCTAAATTGTCGGATTATTATACAGTAAATTATTCCTGTATACAAATTTTATTCTCATTAGCTTAATGATTATCAATGTAATTTAAGAATTGCTGTCGAAATATTATGGTTCTACCATAAAGTAATAATGGAAACTGGCCACTGACTTTCTGGTCTCAAAGCAAAGACAGAGAAGCAATATGAGTTTGACTGTGTCGACTCTAGGTCAACAGTGCTGGTCAGACGTATAATTGGTCAATTCTGGGACACTATGTTACATAAGTAGAAGAAACGACATAGACAAAATTAGGACCCTTACTAGTCACTTTGACACGTGGTATTGGTTAGCGTTTCAAGATGCAAAGGTAACAAACAATAGACGTTTTTTACCATATGTATACTAATCTGTTCCAACGTAACTTATTGAGATACAAAAGCTCACTATGGTTTTGGTTATCATATCATTACTCGCACAAAAACTTTTATGCATTTCATACAAGTCAGAGTTACTTGTTACAAAATAAATGCAAATTTATATTATGTAAACTCAATTGCTTTTTAGTATTGGACTAGAAACTAGACCACTTACTTCCTCCTCGTATGCCGGTATGCAGTTCAAATCAGCACCATTGATAAGTACAACAAACTATTTGGTTGTATATAAAATCATATTATTCTCAACTTTTAAACGTTATTTCAACATATTAAAGAAGAAATACTTACAGATCCCTGAGGAAGTGAGTTAGTACTCATGAAGTTCTGTTGATGCCTAAGATCATCTGAAACAGGTGGGAAGTGAGTTTGTGCAGAACTTATTAAGCTGGAAGTACCAAGAGTCCCCCAAGTGGTGCTGACCACGCTATTGGGTGACGTGTCCCATGAAACAATTCCGTTCGGATTGACACCGGACCTCCAAAAATTCGGATCAGGATCCCACGAGAACTCGTCTGGTGGATTGTGTGTCGGGACAATAGGGCGAGTACTACCAAGTACAGGACGACCATTGGATTGTTGAACATTTCCACTATTCCGAAAAGCTAAATGTATGCAAAATCATTAAGTTTGGTAAGCTACATTATCACATGATGATGACAAGTTAACATAAAGATATTTCCAGTATCTACCACCAATGATGAATATCAGAAACTAAAAATAAACATAGCAAATTTGAAGCTGTGATAGTGATCTCGAAGCATATCTCAAGTTACTTGAGAATATGAACGAAGTAGATACACTAATTCACTTAGCTGATAAACCATAGAAAACGGAAATTATTTAGAACCGATTATTCAGAGAACAATGAAACACTTAATTGTTACATCCTCTTTATGTACATCCACTAATACAACTCAGCTTTGCCCGATCGAATTCAGTACAAAAATAAACGGATTATATATATATATATATATATATATATATATATATATATGGTAGAGCGGGAAAGATTAGAGGTAAAAACCAGTCGTAACTACAACTACTCCACAAAAATTTATGAAACCCCCTAATTTGCTGGTCACAGTGTAGCAAGTTACTATTGAAGAGGCGAATTTATCGGATAAAGATTTACTTCATAATGTAACCAAGTGGTTTGAGATGCTATCGGAAGCCTTAAAATTAAAGTCCGACAGTCATTCCCTAGTTTCCTTCGAATTCTGCATGAATAGCAAGGTCTACATTGAGAAAACTGGAATTTATGTTCTTATTTAAAACAGTATTCTTTGACAGTTTTGCTCTAATTATTCTGCTTCCTTTTTCACGTGTATAGATTCGTGCGGTGTATTTTTAGCGCTTCACTGCACCAGGTATTTTTTAAATATTAATATATTTCCTGTCACAGCTATAAGCCTGAATTATTCTAAAGGTGATGAAGAAATTGGAGGTTTCAGCAAGATTTAGATTTCTCGACTGAATGGCTTTGTATAAGGCCATATGTCGTTCGCAAGGAACAAGTAATTCGCATAACTTCATTGTGAAACATTTATAGTATAAACTGGATGCACCCATTGGTTTATCTTTACTATCTGATAACAAACTTCTACTGCGGGAAATAATGGGCTGAAATTAACATAAAACCACTTACTTTCCTGACTGGAACCAACTGTTACTAGTGGACGTCTATGGATGATATCCCCACTAACACTATCTTCACTATCAGTCACACACACCGAGTTCCATAATAAGCTGCTGTGGTCTGAAGATTCAGAGTGGCCGAGACTCCAGTTTTTGGATAATCCTAATTAGAAACAAATAAACAGAGGAACGGATTTACATACATTTACATGTCTAGTAGCTAGAAAACCAACCTGTCGTAATCAACGTAGGCACTCGTACACAACATACGTTAGTTACATCGGAAAGAGACTATCGAAAGGTAAAATTACGATGAAGTTGAACCATAAAATTGAGCTTGAACGACCCACTAAACAACTGCCGAATACAAAATAACAAATATAAGTGATCTATAGTGCTAAGATTTGGGAGTTAGAGTTAGGTTTAAGGTTTTCATCATTGATTGACACCAACTATAATGCAAGAACACTTAGTTGTATAGTTTAATAAACTTACCCCAAGAACTGAAGAGGCATTATCTTATAATCTATTGACCCATTCAGCCAACTAGAAAATATTACACATGAGTGAATGGCTTATGTAGATCTAGAATGACTTAGTCACCAAAAGTCTGGAAGAGATACGGGTAGACCCACATTGCCACACGACAAACTGAAGACAGTGCCTCTTGGATTGAATAAAATTTATCCACGAATATAGCTAGAAAACATTCTTGCATTACAGCTTGTAAGTCCGTGATGAAAACACTATAACTTTTCCCTTTATTTTATTATCGGTAAAAAGTGATGCTGTGATATATGTACCGGGACCATGGAGTGGTTTGCACGCTTTTTATCGAGTTCAGATCTACTATATATCATACAACAGTGAACTAGTGGAAATTAAAACGTGCAAAAATGTTTAAGTGTAAGTCCGAGTGCAACAAACCGACCAAAGATAATGGCTAAAAACTAAAATGGTACATTTGTTGTTATACAATTATTTTAAACCAGGCTTTTAAATATACATAGCTACAACGTAGGACCAGGCACATATGTGCATCGGTTCAAGTTGCCATACTTCATTAACACAAATAATATATACATAGCACGTAAATCAGAATGAACACTTTAAATTATCTAGTGCTTACTATTTTCATTATCTTCCCAGTCTCGACGGTTGTTAAGTGGCATTGGTGTTGCACCTCGAGAATTGGCGTTCATGTTACAGTTTATTAAAGTACTAGGACTAATATGGGTAACAGACGAAGCATCACGGTAAGTCGAGGATTGTGATTCTTCCTGCCATGCAGCCGAGCGTCCACTTAAACTTTCATAGTGCATTTCCCATATTCCTGTTCCTGTTGGCGGTCCACTTGCCCAAACGTTAGAATCAGCTGAGTGGGTATGAGATATCCTAAGACTTCCACTTACAAACCCAGAAGGACAAGCTCCTGGGGTAGGTGTAGTTATGCCACTGCGATTCACTTGATCACCCAACTTTGGATCTAATGGCTCCCAAGGTGTTGCTTGATCAATTGGTCGTCGCCCCCAACCCTCGTTTGTATTGATTAGTCTGTCACAGAGTTGTTCTGCTGAGAACGCAACATCATTCATGTTAGCACAGACAATGGACGACTTGACATCGGACGCTGAAACAAAAAGTTTTCACGTTAACAGATTATTTAGGGAACTAACGTATAATTTACCTGAATATTTGTTTTCAATTAATTCTATTCAGTATGAAGTTAGTAGTGAGCACAGAATACCACAATATTTGATCTAGTACTAAGAAGCTTTTGTGCCTAGTTAGATCTAAGTTCATAGTGGTATTACAAAAGTCCAGAAAGACAACTGTACACTCCGGATTTTCCACACCAGCATGTGTAACACATTACAATACAACTATCATAGATGTTAACGGCTCGAAGTACAAGAGATAAAACTCGGGCAACCAACGTTTATTATTTATTTAATTGAACACATAAATAATGTCCAACGAATCGAAGGCAGCCTTAACGTCAAGAAACACTACGATTGTTGGCCTTTGATAAATATGACGGTGTTCTAACATTTGGCGGAGAGTGGAGATATGATCAATACATCCTCGACCAGAACGAAACCCAGGCTGCTCCTCGCGAGTCAATTTTTCTCAGGGTTTTGAACAACCTACGAAATATGACGGAAGCCAATAGCTTGAATGCAATCGAAAGTAGACCTGTCCCCCGATAGTTGTTACAGGAAGAACGTGAACCCTTTTTAAAGATAGGGACAACTATCGACTCATTCCATGACGTTGGTACACTCTCTAGTTCCCAGACCTTTGTAAACAACGTCGTCAGTTCCTTAGCCAGAAAGTCACCACCATCTTTACAAAGGGCCGGAGGTAAGTCGTCTGGGCCCGGCGATTCGTAGCGTTTTGGGGGCTGGAGTTCCTTGAGGACTTCCGCCTAATTTAGTGGATCAGTCGTCACCGGCCATGGAGGGCAGGACAGTCCGGTCGGTGTTGCCGGAGCAGCAGCTCAGTTGAACTGCCCTTCGAATAATTCTTCCCATCGTCCAAGACGTCGATGGATATTAGTGATTGACATCCCGTTATCCTCACAGATTGTTTCGCTCACAACAGATTTCTTTCTGCCAGTGGCTCGGATGAGTTGGAAGTGCTCTCGGTAGTTACCAGATGCAGCTGCTGCTTCCAGCTAGTTGGCACGCTCCGATCACCAGGCTTCTCGGTCCTTACGCAAGCTTTGCCCAATTTCATTGCGTAGCATTCTTCGTTTGTGGTCAAACTCACGGTCACCAAGAGTAGACCGACGGGCTTCGATGACTTGTAAGGAGCCTGAAGAAACCCAGTGCTTATAAGCGTGACGTTTCGCGAAGCCGCAAGGGGCTTTACTCGCCATTTTGATGGCGTCATGAAGTTGCAACCAATGCTCATCTATACTTTTCGGTGGAGTGGTAGCCAGCCTAGAAGCTAGCTCGGTTCGATACTTACCTGCAACAGAAGTTGCAACCAACTTGCTGACATCAATCCTTTGGTAGCCGTCACTTCGTTGGCCACTGAAAAGTAAGGTACGATTGGCGCAGACCAGGACATGATCAGAGTCCAGATAGGTACTCTAAAAGAAGCGGCAGTCTTGTACACAACCACGCCAGCGGTAGCTGATCGCGATGTGATCAATCTGAGTCCAGGCTTCAGATGCAGAGGGAGGACACCAGGTGGCACATTGGCGATGACTGTGCCAGAAGTTAGTGCTAGCCAGAAACAGGTTGTGGTCTGTGCAAAGTTGCAGTAGACGGTCCCCGTTATCTGGCCTGCGACCAACGAGTCCCCATCGGCCACCTAAACGACTCTCTTCTGTGCCTAGACGCCCGACCTGAGCATTCAAGTCTCCGGCTAGTACTACAATATCTGTCGAACGCACTTTCTGGAGAAGAACTGATAACTGGTGGTAAAACTCATCCTTGATTGCATCCGGGCTGCAATCTGTCGGGGCATAGACAGAGATGATGAAGAGACATCGTTTCTCACGCCGATTTCTTCTCACTTTGATGGAACTTTCTAATCTGACAGCACATAACCGACTGTTAATGGGGATCCAATCGACTAGTGCTGCCTCAGCTCTAGCGCTTAGTGCGACACCAACGCCAGCAAGACCAGACGAAGATGCCACAGGGTCCCCGGACAAGCGCACGTAAAACAAGCTTTTCGAAGCTACAGATGGAGATCGAATTTGTAGTACTTCGCCAGAGTCTTGAGTACGGGTCTCGGATAGACAACACACGTCGATATTAAGACTTTCCAAAGACATAGCTAGCCCTATCTGTTGTCCGACCTGCATAAGTGTGCGAACGTTGAAGGCAGCCAGTTTGAATGGTGCACGTGGTTTCAAAAAAACTGATTAAGAATTCGTATTTGATGGTAGCATACAATTTTCAACCAGGCAGTGACTCGAGAACGTTTAGACAGAACCGATTTTCCACCATAGGCGAGCTGCTGTATGAGTCGAAAAATAAGGATACATAAAGTGGGAATAAAAGAGAGTGAACAAATGACGTGAAAAAAAATAATAGTGATAATAGTAATGATAATAATAATGTGAATCGTTTGGTTGTTGATCGAAGCAAGACAAGCATTTTCCATAAACATCGACAATTCGTCACATTTGTGTGTGGGCTGTGATACTGCCCGGGTGCCCAGACAGAAGCAGGTGGTTATCCTAGGGGGCCACACTTCGAGCCTTTGACCTAACGGTGTGACGTACAAGGCAGTGGAGCATCGTGAGATGTACCAAAGTGATAAAGTTTGAAATCCAACGAATTATTATGACAGAATCCAAAGTGTTGATATAGAAAATAACAGTTTTTGACGTCGATATTGCTCACGCTTGAGAGATCAGTTCATGATACGATGCTGTAAAACGTATAGCTTGATTAGATTACAGTTGATGAAACAAGGGGATTCAAACTCAGAAAATCGGTACACAACATGATCCATTGTATAAGTGTAAGTCGACTGGCAGTTATTGCAAGACAAACAAACCTAAAACAGGCCATAGACTGTTGAATTATTTAAGACCTTGTGAATACATGAAATTGTTCATGACAAATTGAAGGATAAAAAGTAAAACTTATGTTTGATATCGTAAGTGTGCACATCACTATGCTGTGCATTGATTCTGATATATTAGACTAGTCATTTACGACAAGATTAGTCTAAGTGAAAAATATCTGCCTTCCTTCTAAAGTCAACCGACTGCGCTACTCAATTAACAGTCACATACTCGCTCAATACATCGGTTTGTATGTGTCGATTATTTTAAACGTTAACTAGCGCAATTTCGTGTGACGCATTTCCAATGTGAATACTTCTAAAACAAAGTATGGGAAGTCAGTTTTAGAATTAAGTTAGACGGGCTAGTAGTTACAGTACAAATGTCAATAATGAACTGCTCTTAAATATGAAAATCAGTACAAGCGCTGCTAGCTGCTGTCTTAGTCATTTAGTTTAGACAATATTCGTTTTGGAACTAATGTCGATATAGTAAGCGAGATTATTTATTTATAAGCCATATCAAAAAACTCTAATTAATGAAGAACTGACACCTTGAAATATTGTAGTTTATTAGATGCAGTGCATTTTAGAATAGATGTCTTGGATTTGAAATGAAGCAAAGATACTGAGGTCTATGCACATATAGTGCTGACACTAGCTCTCTGACAGAAATATAGTTTGAAACGAGAAGCCTGAGCCGTTGTTTGTTGCATTCAACAGTCCGAATGCTACTTTCTAGCTATAACTGAAATAACAAGATCATCTGAAGCACAGACATATAAATTTAAGAAAACACTGCGTGTTATGATTAGTTAAACTGAGGACTTACTTGGTTCGTCGGGATTCCTAGGAGTAAGATTCAGACCAGAAAGCATCGCAGTAACATAAGGAAGGCTATTAGCGGGACTATCATGAGGTATGTCGGAAGACCTGGATGTACCAGCCAAGACACCCGGATCCGCAATAGTAATGGGCGCATTTGTGAGGGAACCAATACAATGTGTTGGACTAAGCTTCCAAGGATCAGTATCACTAGTAACCCTTGACACTTGAAACACAGGGTCGTGAGATGAGTCCCAGACCTATAGTTTAGTTTAGAAAACAAGTGACTTACATCATCATAGACAAGTGAAACACTCTGTTTAGTTGAACTTCCCCAATGTTGGTTGTGATTACCTGATGACTTTACTTCTGATACTTGCATATCACTCGACCAAATGGACATTTTGTTAGAGAGCCTCAAAGGATTATTAGACCAAGTAACTGAGAACGATAAGATTAAACCTAACAAACTCATACTTGCAGGGTCCGGTTTAGAGTCGACAGTTAGTTTTTCGGGTTGTTTTGGGGCAGGAAGAGCTGAAATAAATTAAACTGTATGCAGTTTACCCATGTTGCCCAGTTTGGTATGAGCAAGGTAAGAGTCCGAATCGGGAGGCCAAATATCATTATCGACTAGTTCCATACCAGAACCATTATTCCATGAGCCTAAGTTCAGGTTAAAAAAATCGAGATTGGTATGTTCTTGAGGTTCTGACATCTAATTCATTCAAAAAATAACGAGAAAATATTCTCACCAGAAGTTCGCCGGCGATCGTTACTCTGTATTAATAATTGTCACCATTTTATCACATTATTAACGGAGCGTTACAGCGCGACCAACCCTACAACTTGCAACCTGATAAATCTTTCTACCAACCTTCAAGGGCAAAACAAGATGACTGCTAACTTTTAATATGGCCGGTAGATTAACATGATTAAACAAATTCCGCAATCCGAATTAACTAAAGACAGAGATATACTGTCTCTCTCTAGACAGTTTAGAAGGCTGATCGTTTAATCGGGTTTCTCGTGAGAGAAAAAATGTGCGCATATATAAATACATGTTAGAAAGAAGATTTGTTTTCGGTATTTTCACTTGGTAACGCGAAACAATCAACACAAAACCGAATTTATGTGGTGTCCTGTGTGCAGAAATCGTTTAATTGTTCCAGAAACCCAACCCTTCTTCAAGAGTGTGTCGTTTTAGGCCGGGTATCAGAGTTTCTTCGATATTGTTGATCATCGAATGGGTTATTGTAATAGTGAGACATGTGTTGTTCGGGTTTACTGGACGAAACTCAATATTATTAGGATCTCATTCTACATACTCAACTTTGACACCGTCAATGCTGACGTTATCGTTAGTTCCATTCTGATCGATGATATAGTACACAGGTCCACACTGAAGAACTTTGAATGGTCCTTCGCATGTTGTTCCGTGAGGTCGTTGAAGTGAGTCGCAACGTACAAAGACGTGTGTGCTATATCGTAAGGCAGGTTGGACGAAAACATCAGTTGTTTGCGGTCGAGTGGAAACAGGTTTAGCCGAACGCATCGCGTGTGTAAGCCTGCTCGTGTAGGAGGTTAGGGCCATGTTTATCGAAGATGAAGGGTCCATGAACTATCCTGGCAGTCGAAGTGCCGTTCCATAAACGACTTGAGCTACAGTGTGTCAGATGTCAGATTTCACCACATTGCGAATACCAAATAATACGTGTAGAAGAGCATCGATCCACTGTGAAACGTTTACAGCTGATAGGGAAGCTTTTAGCTGTCGTTCGAAGCTTTCCACCGACCCGTTTGCTTGTGGGTGGTAGGCAGTTGTTCGGAATCGCGTTATTTTTAATAGTGTAGTCAGACAACGGAAGAGTCCAGATTCGAACTGGCGTCCACAGTCTTTGGAGATAGTTGAAGAGCAACCGACGTTTGCTACCCATCGTTCGACGAAGGCGCAGGCCACAGTTTCATTAGTAATGTCCTTGATGGGCACTGCTTGTGGCCATCGTGTGAAATGGCCTACAAACGCAGACAGGTAAGATTATCCTTTGAATTTGTTAAAGGTCCTACCAAATCCAGATGAGCATGGTAGAAACGAGCATCGGGAGTTTCAAGTGAACCTTAGGGACATTTGTTGTGTTTGATCACCGTAGATATCTGGCAGCTTACACAGAAGCGTGCCCACTTCTTTGCTTCTCTACTCAGACCGGGCCAGCAAAATCGTCCTGTCATGAGCTTGATGGTTGAACGGACACCTGGATGGGAAGCTGAGCTAGCTTAAGAAAATCGATTCTTTGGAAAATGTTTGTGGAGGCCCGTTATTTAATCGTCATTTAGATTGAACGATGTCGTCGAAAGGGCTCTTCACTTTAGTGGCCCGAGGTCTGACTCTAATTAGATCGTATGAATGATTGCTATTGAAATATATATGTCCCCAATTCTAGTATATAATCATCGACTTAAATCGTGTTAGCCAGTAACGGAATTGAATAAGTCGAATAACGAGAATGGACTTGTGAATACATATATGTGGTATATAAAGCGAATGGAATAGAGAGAATAGGAACGACGTGGAATGGATATGGCTGGTAAGCCAACTCCCATTTAACCAAGCGTTAATCAATATTTATAGTTACACAAAAGTAAGTTACAGACATGTGATGAGTAATGGGATAAGAAATGTAGGCGAGACTCAAGTTTATGGACGACCTTGGAACGAATCTTTAGCGACCTTGAAAAATATTAACCAATCAGCAAATAGTCAGTATAGAGTAAAAATATATTATACAAGACCAGGGAAATAAAGTGGATACAATTCTTATACGTGATCCAAAAACTTGTCAAGGTTAGGAAGACGTTCAGAGGTTCTCAAATCGTAATACATGCAGTAAAGGAAATCATCCATACAGATACAGAATGGTCGGCTTCTGGAGCCATGATAAGGTGTCAAAAACTCTTTGAGCCTTGACCACATAGCTTCAATATTGGTTATGTGCACACCGTGTGTTAAGTGCACAAAATGCTACTTGTGAATAACGACATGATGCACATAGTCAAGCCTATGTAGGAGTCTGTACGCTTTCCAAACATCCGTATATATTGTAGTACCTGGCTGCAGCCAGTGTTACTGGTGTTTTTGTTATCCAGTTCGCAATAATTGTCGTAATTTGCCTTAGTTAGGAATTATATATGGGATTTTCATCACGAACTGACATCAGCTATGATGCCAGAAATTTATTTAGCCAAATGGATGGAAGGCTTTCGCGTTAAAATCCGTAGTCTATTATATTATGTCTGATTGATTCGTCCACAAATTATAGTCCCGCCGTTTTATTTGTTATGGCCACGCAATTATCACATTTTGTACAAAATTCCTCGTGAACCAATCGTACATTAGAATTAGGCACTGAAAATGGCGCCGTAACCTTGAAATCTCTAAAACGCCTGTGATTGACTCGTCCATAAATTAGGGTCTCGCCGAAATGTACACACACCTACGCGCTCACATAAGGACAGTCAAGACTGATAAGCGAATAAATAACAGGGTCAGGATGTCACTCAAGTATCGGATATCAATCTTCCTAGTAATTCTCCGCTCAGCTTCAAGAATCTTGTGATTATTATTATTATTAGTCACAAACATCTTATGGGTGCATAAATGTTGTGAGGAAACAACTTCCGGTTTCCTCGAAAATACAACAATATACAATTTTCAATAATGTTAGCATTATATTCGCCATATTTGAAAAAGAGTAATAATAGAATAATAGCAATGAATCAGGTTCTGTGTAATTGAGAAGAATACTGAATTGACTTTAAAGAAGGAAAGAGAGAAAATAAGGGAATAGAAATAAAGGAGACGTGAAATACGCAAATAGTTTAATAGGTGTGTTTATGAACACAGAACAAGAATAAATGACTATGAATGTATCGACAAATTGGTAACAAAAATAAAGTAGAAAATAATCAAGAAAAAATAACTTATTATTACAGTAAGATATGACGCTAGAATAAATGTTTGTGCAGTCATAGTTTGGAGTGATGCTATGAAAGTCTCAAATAAATGAAAAGGGTGACGAAATATCAATATGCATGAACCATATATGCATAGAGAAGATAAAACGAGTCTGAGAAGCTAATTTAAATGTAACACAAGTTATTTTCTTAATTACAAACGTCGTAATTTTAAGCAGAATATTAATTTAAAAGGAAAGAAGAGGGAGAAAATAAGTGGATAACTAGTGAAAAGGTTCATCCATGATAAGAATGTTTATTGTGTAATGAATATCGACTTCAGAAGTAAACCAGCAATTGAGAAAAATAAAATAAAAATCCGTTAAAGCACTCGGATGAATACATTTAGATTTATGTAATAGTACACAGAGTGAGACCGGATATTAGCATAAATATTTGTGCAATAATAATTAAGAATGATGCTATGAAGGTCACAATTGATTTCATAGGACAATCTGGAATTAAATATGTTTAGAAGGATACGAAGAGATAAAAAGAATATCTAACGTGTCGGGGGACCAGTAGTGATTTTAATAACGGTAATAATGATAAATACAAGCATAAACAGACTTCATATTGTTAAGATGAATAAAAATAAGAATGGAATAGACGTGAAAAGTTTCAAAGGTTTCATTCTGCTTTTCAGTCAATTAGATGGATGACGGACCTTGTTCGTATAAATCATTATTGAATCCATTGATATTCAATAGGTGACATAACCCACTTTCGGAGAGAAAATCATCAAGGAGACTTCTGAACCGGGTTTTAGTTTCATTGAGACGGAGGTTCACTGGCAGTGTGTTCCACATGATTGAGTAGCGGATTACGAAAAAATTCTGGCGTTTGTGTAGGTTTTTGGAATCTCTAGAATATTTTTCTTTTTGCGTAGAATGTGGGATGATAACATAGAGTATGAAGAAGTGGATACCGGGGAGTAGGAAATATCGTCAACAACCCGGTAGATAGAGATAAAGTTTGATTTGATACGCCTGATCCAGAGTGGTTCTTATTTGAGATATTGACATCTTTGGTGATAGTCCTTGCTGTCGGAATACCCCAAACAGCTTTGGTGAACACCTTCAATTTTAATCAGGTCATTATGCCTGCAATTACCGTGAACTAAAATACCATATTCAGGAATGGGTAAGATACATTTTCTGTATAATAATAATAATCACATTCGATATTATTGAAGTTTATCATTATCAATCCGATGAGCTTTCTGGCTTTGGATACTTGAGATGCAATGTGTTTAGAAAAGTTCAAACTGTCACTATACCTTAAACTCAAGTTACGAACAGTGTTGAGAGGTTTCAGTGTATGTTTGTGTATAGCCAGATTTAGGTTATGGTAGCGGCCGATGTGGATGAATTCATTGTTGTCAACATTAAGTAACAAATTCCACGAAACAGTCCATTCGTATAACTTGTTTATTTCCTCTTGGATTACCGCTGAAATATAGCTTCATTGGTGAGAGAAGAGGATAAATAAATCAAAAAGGAAAGGTTTACCATACTGAAAGAGGGAACACACATCACTGAAAACAAGAAAAAACAGCAATGGACCTATCATACTTCCGTGTATAACCCCACTGGTTGCACTCACAGGTTTAGAAAAGCAAGATTCAAAGAGAATGATTTGGCTACGCTATTCTAAAGACGATTTGAGCCAAGATAAAGGGGGATTCTGTACGCTAAATGAAGAGAGTTTTAGAAGAAGTTTGTGTGAGGCATTGTCGAAAGCCTTACTAAAATCTAAGTACAGGATTATCACTGACTGATCAACATCTCTTCTCTGTGTGGTTTGATCAAAAGGTTCCAGGCGCGATGTGAAGCATGAGCGTCTAGTCATTAACCCGTTTTGGGATGGGCTAATCAGACT